ATGGCAGTGTTATTATTTCCGATGGCCAGGACCCAATAACTACTAAGAAAAGACTGGGTGCTTTTAAGAGGCATCAATTAAATAATAGTTTAAAGGAGTAGAAATCAAAATTGGATAAATATTTATTTGAGCCGATGGATGATGGTGCTAGCCAGGATATTGACTTTAATGTTTTAATGTGGTGAAAGCTCAATCAGTATAGGCTTTCTATACTTGCTATTATTGCTCCTGATGTATTGGCGATTCTAGTATCAATAGTTGCTTCATAATCCACTTTTAGTAGAGGTAGACGTGTGCTTGATGCATATAGGAGCTTGTAACGTATTGACAGTTTCGGTATCAATAGTTGCTTCAAAATCCACTTTTACTACCGGTAGACATTTGCTTGATGCATATAAGAGTTCTTTGATTCCTAAGATCGTGTAAGTACTTATTTGTACTCAAGATTGGCTATATGAAAAAGCACGTGGTCATCTGAAGCAGCTTGAGAATGATTTAGACGAGATCGATAAACTTGATTTCGATAATTTCTTCTTTGTTTTTTAGTTCTTTGTTTTTTAGTTCTTTGTTTAATTTACCATAATATAGTATCTTTTTTTCTCAATTTATTTCTTTGTTACTTTATAGCGTGTTTGGTTGGGAGCCATTTCTCTTTATTCCTAAGGAACTTTTATTCCCTTATTTGGTTGTGAAATAGTCTAAGGAATGGAATGGCTATTCTCTAAAATCCTCTAAAACTAACGAATAGCTAATACCACCCTTTCTTATGGTATTAGATATTCCATGGTTGAGGAATAAACTCAAAAAATAAAAAAAAAATCAAAATACCCTTTACAAGTTCTAAAAATTACAACTTTATTTATATAAAATATTATTTTTTCCTCTCCCCTTCTTTTCTCTCTTAATTCCAACTTTTAATAAAATATTAATATTTTAAATTATAAATAAAATAATAATTTTTAATTTTTAATTATTAATAAAATAAATTATAAATTATTACTATTTAAAAATAAAATAAATTAAATATAAATAAGCATAATAAATTTAAATTATATATAAAATATTAATAATTAAATTATCAATTATTAATATTTTAAATAAATTACCAATTATTAATATTTAAAGAATAAAATAAAATAAAAAATTAATTATAATAATATTTAAATTAAATAATATGTTAGTTTTTTAAAATATTAATGATTAAATTATAAATAAAATATTAATATTTAAATTATCAATTATTAATATTTAAAAATAAAATAAAAAATTAATCATAATAATATTTAAATTAAATAAAATTTTAAAATTTTATGATTAAATTATAAATAAAATATTAATATTGAAATTATTAGTTATTAATATTTTAAAAATTAATAAAAATAAGTAATCATATAAATAAAAACAGGTATTTTTATCTTTTTATTTTATATTCTTTTCTTATTTTGAAGTTATTGTTACTAACCAAACACTGCAATAAGTTATAATAATTATTCGCACCATATTTCCATTCGTCATATCAAATTAAGTAATAACTATTATATTCTAGTCCAATCTCTTCCTATTCCTACATAATAACTATTATATTCCATTCTTGTCTATTCTGCCAACCAAACGTACCTTTAGTTCTTTGTTTAAAGATTTTGCCATATTTGTTATTTTATTTTTTAAATTTATCAAAGATTACCTTGGAGCCCATATGTAAGATTGAGGCCGAGTCTAACTTTGATTCTAAGTAACATGCTATTCTTGTCAACTATTTTCACTTTTCAAGTAATATTATCCATAAGTGTTATGCACATATACATTTATACTTCATTTAAATTATCTTAACACAATTATTTATACTAATTATTTTATATTTTAATATTTTTGAGAACATGTTTTGAAAAATTGTTGAATTGGAGTTGAAGGTTCGAGTTGCATTATATAAATTACTCAATTTCATTGCATGTTATATACAATTTATGAAAATCTTTTTTCCTTATCTTTTCAATTTTGTTTAATATTTTCGTTATCTAATTTAATATATGGTATTTATTACTTTTTTAAAAAATAAATTATTGATTTTGTATTCTTATAAGTAAATAATATGGTGGTTATTGTTTTTATTAAAAAAATTATATAGGGTTTAATTATATAATTAAAAATAAATCATACGAGTTGGATTACTTATTTAAGCAACATGGGTTTGATTTCAATTATAAAAATGGACTTGACACAAATTTAAGCCCAAACTGAACACAAAATTTTTCATGATTTTATCATTTTTGGACCATTTAAGCCTAAGCCCAATGTAACCTCCAACTAATCGAAATCGAGGTTGGTTTCTATTGACCGATTTTCCTTATGATCGATCAGTTTTAATCGATCATAAGGAAATATCGGTTTCGGCGATTTTGGATTCTGTCGAAATCGAAATCGACCAACACTCACCCTTAATAGATAGGCCACTTCTGGCCTTTTCTATAATAACATCCCTCCACAAGCTTACATTCTCCCTCCTATATCTCCATATACACTTGCCTAGCAACGCCTTATTCTTAACTTCTAAATTAGTAATTCCAATCCCACCACACTTTCGATAATTGCACACAATTTCCCATTTAGTGAACTTTTTTCTTATCATCCATATCCCCCCATAAGCAACTTTTTTGTATTCTTTCCAACCTATCTTTAACTCCTTTGGGCATTTGAGACAGTGACATGTAAAATGTAGGAAGGCTCATTAAGACAAATCTAAGCAAGGTAATCCTACTAGCTAAAGATAGTAAAATAGATTTCCACCTTGCTAGTTTCTTTTCAATCCTATCAATGATTGGATTCCAAAATGCCAAAGAATTATGCTTAACTCACAACGATAGTCCTAAATAAATAATTGAAAGTTTTCCCATTTGACAATGAATTCGACTAGCCCACCTTTCCATTATCCTTATCTCATCACTTATACCAATGAGATGGCTTTTTTGGTAACTAATTTTGAGGCCCAACATGCTTTGAAAGCACTTCAAAATCCTTTTTAACACCAAAATATTCTCTAGACTATGGTTACAAAACACCATTATCTCATCAGTGAATTGTTAATGGGAGATTTATAACCCTTGTCTTCCAATTTCCATTCCTTCACAAATTCTAGTCATTTCCACCCTTTGAACCACACTACTTAAAGCCTCGATAATGATGTTGAACAATAACAAGGACAAAAGACATCCTTACCGAAGACCTTTTTGCATTTTGATTTGCCTCGTCGGTGAACCGTTCATAAGGATGGAGATCATAATTGTGTTGATGCACTATTTAATCCATACCATCTATCCTCGAAGCCTATTTTCTTCATGATAAGATTGAGGAAATTTTAACAGACACAATCATAAGCCTTTTAAAAGTCTGTTTTGAATAGAAGATCTCCCCCACTGTTTTTCTTTAAAGCATCCACCACCTCATTTGCAATAAGTGCGTATTCCATAAGTGGTCTTCCTTGGATGAATACAAATCGATTTCTCCCAATAATTTCATCCATCACCAATTTTAACTTGTTTGTCAAAATTTTAGCCACAATCTTATAAAGACACCCTATTAGACTTATCAGTTTGTACTCATTTAATCTTATAGGATTTTCCACTTTCAGGATCAAAGCAATAAATGACACATTAATCCCTTTTCCAAGCTCCCCACTACTATAAAAATCTGCCATGAACCTTATCACATCTTTCTTAACCATGCTCCACTACTTTCTGAAAAGTTCATGTTGAAATTGTCCGGTTCAGGTGCTTTGTCCCCATCACAGCTTTAAATCGTCTCCTATACCTCTTCCTCCAAAAAAGGTCTCTTAAGGCTTCTAACAGATTCTACCTCCAAGATTTTGAAATTGCATCCAATATTCTTAACTTCCAACACCTCTCTGCTATTGTATTGCTTTTTCAAAAATTCCACAATCTTTTCTCTAATTTCTTGAGGTTTTTTTGCCTCTTTAGATTCACTCCTAACTTTCACAATCAAGTTAGCCCTCTTTCTTCATAGTGCTAATTTTATATATTTTCATAATTAATTTTTATTTCATATTTTATAATTATAGATGAAGTTTACAAATTTTAATACTATAATTAAAAAAAAGAAAATTTTTGTCCTTTTGGTCCAAAACCGAACTGATAGAACCAATTCGATAATATTTAGTCGATTTGGTCCTCTTTTATGTTTAATTGGTTCTTATCGGTTTTTTAAAAATATTTGATCTATTTGATTTTTAAGTATAACGAACTGAATCGTCCAATTGCTCACTCCTACAATGAAGCAAACAACAAAAAGATTCAATGATCTTGATAGTATGAAAAATGATGATTTTGGATAATAATTTGAAGAATTAGAGATAGTCTACTTATGAATTGCATAATTTTTAACCACTTCTAATTTTTTTCTTTCCATGACTTTATAAGTTTTAATTTATTTCTATTTTTTGAATTGACAAGTTTTTTTAATTTTTTATAAAAATAATAGAAAAAAAAGTAAAAATTAAAAATATTTACCATACGACTTAAATTTTACTTAACATACTAAAAGGACATCAGCTTTGTCATGTTTTTTCCCTAAACAAGATTAGCATAAAATGAAACATGGATAATAAATTAAAATGTAGTTTAGAATAACAAAAAAATTAATTATGATTACTCCAAGCCTCATTTAGACTTTTCATATTTTTTTTACCTATTTGGCTTCTTCTTAATTTGCTGGTCAAGATGTTTTCTCTAGGAAAAATGATGAAAATGAGAAATGGTGGAAAATTTAATTTTAACTTGATAAGTAAGATTCATTCAAGTTATATTCATACAGCTAATTTTATATAGTTCTTATTTTAATTAAATTAAAATATCAAAATAGTACGAGTAATAGTTACTGCAAAAACTTTAGTACGACTTAAATATACATTTTGGACAAAAAAAGGACAGCAAAAAAAATAAAAAATAAAAAGGGCGACGACAATCCAACAAAAGGAAAAGCAGCAATTATTATTCGACCTTCGAAATTCGGATAAAACGTAAATTTTCACAAAAAACGGGGCACAGAAAAAAGTATGGAAAATAAGGGGAGAGATCAGCTACAACTTCATTTTCATTTTATATAAAAGAAACTCGTGCAATAAAAAACAAAGTAAAGATAATTTCAAGCTGTTAAACAAAGATATCAGCGTTCGATCTCTGTTTGCTTTACCTGCTTCCATCAACGACCAATTTCCTAACGGAGGTAACGCCAATTTATTTTTTTTTTTTGTTTTCCTACTCATAAATTGTCAGTTAAAACTTTACTCTTTTTTCGACGGTAAGTTTTTCGCCGGAATATTCTTTGAATTATTCGCATCTTCTCTTGTGTAATTGTGATATTTTGATTTTTTTTCCTTCTCTCTTAAAATTCTTATGTGGTTAGTAAACTTATGATCCTGGGCTTATTTTTTTCTTCAGTTTCTTAGTAGCCAAACAGAGAATTTTAAGATTGCCTATTTGTTTTTTTTAATTATTATTAATTCATTTGTCTCAATTAGTAGCCAACGCAGCATGAGCTGTAAATTTTCAAAATTTCATTTTCTTTAATTATACTTAATTCGTATTCGTTTTTTTTTCCTTTTTAGTATTTTACCTTTTCTTTGTTTAGTTTTTTTTTGTTTTTGTCTTTTTTGGGGTGTGAAATGAACGTTGAAGAATCATGAAGAAAGGAACTAGGAAAGTAGGGAAGTATGAGGTTGGGCGAACGATTGGCGAAGGAACATTCGCCAAGGTTAAGTTTGCGCAGAATACAGACACCGGAGAGAGCGTGGCACTAAAAGTTTTGGCCAAAACCACCATTCTTAAGCACAAAATGGTTGATCAAGTATGTATTAATTCTTCAAAAGACCCGTAAAAGCCTTTAGCGTTTGATTTTGTAATTCGTATTCAATGCTTTTTATTGAACTGCTAATGCTTTGTTTAGTAAATTAGTTGAAAACTAATAGATAGCACGTTCTCCCAATTTTGTTAAATGTTACTGAAATTTACTGCTAAAATAAGGCTTGGTTTAGTTGATACTTTTACTATTTATTTTTTATTGTTTGTCTTTTATGTTCGCCTTTTGATTTCAATTCGTTTATTGCAAAAAATAAAAAGAAAAGAAAACCAAAATTCAAATAGTAAAAGTATCAATCAAACAAAGCCTAAATTAGTTTTGCCTTTTGATTGTTTGGTGGAAATCATGTTTGAGCTGTTTTTTGTGTTATGCTTGAATCATAACTGGTAATTGGTAAGATTTTGGCTATGTCACATGCTACGATAACTAATCCATGTGACAGCAGTGTTGTAAAGAATGAAAGGAGCAAATTGACAAACAAGAATGTACACGGCACATCCTCCAAAAAAAAAAAGAATGTTGATTAGGTTGATTTTCAAGTTAGTATGAGCCTGTCTGATTCTTAGACATGCATTGCTGGAGGAATATCTTCTGTTAAAGTTTCACTTAATGTTGCTTCTGCACTGGCAGAATGGGAGCAATTTGCTGTAACTTGGAATGAGTATTTACACTACTCTATTCTTGATGCGGAATATATTATTATATTTATGCAGTTTATATTTTTCAGTATCCAGAGAAGCATCTTTGTATTCTTCCAATTACTTTTATTGTTCATACTCTCTTTTACTTTGGTATCTGTTATAGTCCTTGCTATTTCTCAATATAACTTCCATTTGTTCCCCCTTGGACCTGTTCTAGTAACACTGTTTTGATACTGGAATCTTTATGAGATTCTCTGCATGAGGAGCATGCTAGTTGAGTAGAAAAAGTCTTTCCGATAAGCCTTTTTGGCTCAAACTCCACTAAGCTAAATGGCTATTTTTTTTCTTGGCTTTTGAATTTATTTAGTGAGAACTAGATTACATCCCTTTCCAGAAATTAAACATCCAAGGTTTTTGGAGATTATGTTTTCCTCCAGAATATGTTAGTCTATTATAAATCCAAAGCCATATTGTTAGATTCCTTTTTTTCCCCAGTGAGGCAATGACATGCAGTTATCATCCCTATGGATACGGTACAGTTCACAAGTGTTCACATGCTGTAAGCATTCGGGACGAGAGAGAACCTGCTGCCTGCAGCACATCTAGAGCGTACATATGCATGATAGTGCTTCCTTGGTCATTCAAATCTAAGCCTAAGGCTTTTGAATTTTTAACTGCATGATATTTGAGAGCTTCTATGAGCTATGAATTGTTGAAGCATGTTGTGTACTAGCTTGATTGTTGCTCTTGCACTGTGCAAATTAGTTGGCATGAATTTTCAACCGTGTTTTTGGTTTCTTTTTTCTGATTGGTTTCAGATTAAAAGAGAGATATCCATCATGAAGATTGTTAGACATCCTAACATAGTTAGGTTGCATGAGGTATGTGTACACTTTTGATAATGTACCTCATAGCTCATACATTTATGTTCCAGCTTATACTTTTTCTTTACCTCATCCTTTTTTTCCTTGAAATATAGGTCTTGGCAAGTAGGACAAAGATATATATTGTTCTTGAGTTTGTAAGTGGAGGAGAACTCTTTGATAAAATTGTAAGGCATCTCCTATCCCCTAAGTACTCTCAGCTTATTGATCTTAACTTATTCTCATTGTTTTTCTTTTTCCGGTCTTCTTTTTTTCATATATAGTTCTCATTGAGAAAAGCATTTATCTCCTCTTTAACTCTTTGTGTAGGTTCATCGTGGAAGACTTTCTGAGAATGAAAGTAGACAATACTTTCAACAGCTTATTGATGCTGTTTCTCAGTGTCACAGTAAGGGTGTATGCCACAGAGACCTAAAGGTGCAATATTTTGAATTCAACCTCTTTGGAAAAGCTCTGATTTCATGATTCCATCTTTTAACCCTAACTCCTCTTTTCCTCTGTAATGTCTAGCCTGAAAACCTTCTTCTCGACTCTTATGGCAACTTGAAGGTTTCAGACTTTGGACTGAGTGCATTGCCCCAACAAGTAAGCATATTGACTTCTTTTCAGGTTCTATACAGTAGAAAGTGTTCCCTTATAATTTTTCTGCCTCTGTCTCATAATTTGGCATACCCATGAGCAGGGGGTCGGACTTCTGCACACAACATGTGGAACCCCAAATTATGTTGCACCAGAGGTATATTCCTTCAAGTGACTTAAGGATTTTGCAGCAAATTGCCTTACTGCCTGCTATGCTTTGCTACTGTGTTTGACTTCGAAATATAACGTATTTTTGTTCTTCTGACTTTGGTCAAATTAATTGTTGTCTATTCCAGCCTCTTACATTTTGGACTACTGGACATTTGAAATTGCTTACATTAATTTTTTCCCATAATAGGATTCTGTATGTCAATTCCACCAATGATGTTAAAATTTGCAATCAAATTCCAACCCGATTGCCAATATAAACCAGACAAGTAGAGCCCAATTTACCCTCATATGTGTCTCCTTAGATTTGATTCTAAAAGATGTCTAAAGGTATTGTTACAAGTGACCTAACACTTTGTCACCTTTTTTCTACCTCTCCATCAAATAATTATCCACTCATTGGCACAATAAACTTTTATTAATTATTACAAGTATTGAGTCAGTAGTACATATTAATGAGTGTTATGCTAGATGTGCTACGATATGAAATGGAGCAGAACTATAAGATTCCTAAAATACTCTTATTATTAGTTTACGATGTTTGCTAGGAATTATATTTTTTTTTAGGTAAGGGGGGAAAGCAAAGGGTACTAGGGATGTTACTGCTGAATTAAATTGAAGAATGGCAAACCAAGGAGAATTTCTTAAGGCTTTATCAGGCTTATTCCTGAGAAGTGCTTGTCTATTAACTTTTATTCAGTTTATGCCTTTGGGTATTTTGTCTTCCTTCTTAATTGTTATAAAGCTTTGGCTTTATTGTTATTTGACATTTTGTTTGTCACTGTGACTGTTCACTAATTTCTGTAGTTTCTTAGTTGCTCATAGCTAGTCATGCCTGTAAAGCGTAAGCATGTGTTTAAATGTGCATCAATACATTTAAAGTCATGCATATGTTTTAGGTGTCTGTTATGTAGTTGAATTTCTAACAGTAAATCATTGCCCATCAGGTGCTCAGCAACCAGGGTTATGACGGTGCAGCTGCAGATGTGTGGTCATGTGGAGTTGTTCTCTTTGTTATAATGGCTGGATATCTCCCATTCGATGAGATAGACCTTCCAACTTTGTACAAAAAGGTTTGATGCTGTCATTTTTGCATGGCTGGAAAATTAATACATTGTTAATTTGCAACATGTTTCTTCCATATGAGCGAATAACTTTTCCAACATTTGCAGACTCTGACTGCTATATAGCTATTTGCGTACAGTTATGTTGCAATGCAGCTGCAGTTCTTTCCTCCCTTCTTTTGAGCTGTAATGAGTGCTTGCCAACTTACTTATGTTCCCATTTTGTATCATATTTTGTTCTTGGAATTTCTTTGTCAGAGTTGCATCCTCTGCTGAAACTGAAATCCCTATGTGCCTTTGCATATAGAATGGAGGCTGGGAACCCTAATATTATATTTGTCACTCTTGTAAAGTCCTACTATTTAGTATATGTCTCGCTAAGAGGAACCACCTTAATTGAACTTAATTTGTTTTATTTAAGCATCTTTTAAGTGCACCGGTAACTGTGAAGCTTCTAACTCTCCCTCTGGTCAATGTGCAGGTTAATGCTGCCCAATTTTCTTTTCCATTTTGGTTTTCGCCTGGTGCAAAATCATTAGTACAGAAAATCCTTGATCCCAATCCTAAAACTGTGAGTATATTTTGCTTACTGTTGAGCTCTAGGTTTTATTTATTTGAATGCTATTATGAGTACATCATATGTTTTGCATTATGCTGTATGTCCAAGAATGCCAATACTTTGTAACAACCTAGACTACTATTGTTAATTTCTCACGCAAGTGCATGTATCGTTAATAAAAGAAAGTAGAATTTGTTCCCACGAAGAATGAAATTAATTCATAATTGCTAACAATGAAAATTATAACACCCTAATCTTATCCAAACAACCTAATTATTAAAAAGAAAAATTGAAACTAATAACTAAAACTAATCTAAAATCTATTAGTAAAATTATTTTATTAAATCTGAGTGATTACTTGACCTAAAATTATGATATCCCTCAATTCTTCTTCTTATTATTGCCTCTCTCTCTTAACTTAGTTTAATGGATTAAGTTATTAACCTAGGATCCTAAATTATTTACAAGTCTTTATCGAGTTTTTTGTAAAGGTACCTCTCCCAATTAATTTACTATATGTCTATGCAAATTAAATTGAAGAAATATTCATTAAGTTCGTACTTTAATCTTAGTTACGTATGGCTTATAGGTGTATGTCTACCCTATATGCAAATCAAATCACCTAATCAACTAAGTGTATTCGATTATTTGCTGTTCTATTCAAGGTCTACCTAAATCTCCTTCATCAAGATTTAATATAGGTTTCCAATTCAATCTAATTGGTGGTCAATCAACTAGAAGTATTAAGAATAGAATAAAATAAACAACTTAAATTCATAAAACATAAACAAAAGGAAGATAAATGAATCAGACTACATATTGAGTTTAATCATAATCTTAGATAAATAAATTAGTTTCTCATCAAGTCACACATCATTATCAACTAAAGTTTAAACATTGAAACTAAATCAAGAAAAATAAGAAATAATGAAACTCTAAGAGTGAAACTCTTGATCTCCAAATCTTCTTGAATCTTTCAATTTCTTTTCAGCTTTAATGACTTTTTCAATGATTTTGTGGCTTGAATCTCAACTCTCAATCTAGAGTCTCGTTCTCTTATTTTAAAAGTTTTCCGAAAGGTTATTTTATAAAGCTTTGAAGTTAGGTCAAGTTGGATGAAGAAAGAATTCAATTTCATTCAGGATTTCCTCATTAGACTATGTGAGCTGCAGTCCTGACTCATTAATTAGCAGAAATCGTAATTATTCTAGAACTACTGCAGTGCTTCGATTTTGATAATATTTTTGACCATCTTCCAGGCCAAACTGGGCGAATTGGTAAACATGAAAGCTGTAGCTTTTTCTCTTAGTTCTAATGGTCCAAGAATCATCTCATTCGGAGCTTTGGTGAGAGAGTGATGGTTGAAATACTGAAACATATGTAGTGGAAGTCTACACCTCAAAGTTGCTTTCCTTTTTCTATTAAAATTCTTCTTTTAGTAAAAACCTACAAAGTACAAATAAATCAACAACAACGTATCTTTATCACATTAACACCAAATTAAGCATAAAATTAACTAAAATTAGATTGACTCCCTTAAATTAACTAATTTAAATTTATTTAAATAAAACTTACTAATTTATATGCATTATTATAAGAATTAAGTTTAATTACTATCAAAATTAAGTCCAAATTACTCTATATCAGAGAGTTATCAACTACTCAATGCATTGGCTTTTACATCCCATTAGATGCTAACACATAGCTCAATAATTCTATGGTGTCTACTACTCTGGGATGTGGTGGATGTTTAGTATATTGAAGAATCCAAAGATCAGGACCCCCAAGACATGGCATTGCCCTTGCAAAGATCAAATAAATAAAACAAGAACTTCTTTGATGTGAACCGTTGCTTGCATTTTATAAAAAGTGGTAATTCAGGCTTGAGAATCATAGAATAAAATTTCATTACATCTGGTCTTAGTAAGGTTTTATTTTATTTCTAAGACACTATAATTTCTAACTATTTTGGCCAAACCCTTCAAAATATATGATGGTAGGCATTAGTTAGATGGAGTAAGGTGAATAATGCAAAGTTAATAAATGTATTGATGCTTGTTTCCCCACCTCTGTCTATAACTGGTTCCTTTATTACTGCAGCGTATTAAAATTGAGGGAATTAAAAATGATCCATGGTTTCAAAAGCATTATGTGCCTGTAAGACCTAGAGAAGAAGAAGTGAATTTGGATGATGTCCGCGCAGTTTTTGATGACATTGAGGTGGGGAATTCTTTCTTTTGTTCTTTGTATTTGTAGTTGCTCTTGTTGGCCTAAGAGATTTTCTGATGCTAGGGGACAGATTTTTCATCTTTGACATGTCACTATTAATGGTTGTTATCAAAGCTAAGGATGCTAAATGCAACCTGATTGCCTTGAGAAACCTTTTCTCTGGATCTCTATTGTAAGCTAAATTTCCCTTTGTTGACTACCCACCGTTTTTTTGCAGGACCAGTATGTATCTGAGCAGTCTGTAGTTGATGAAGGGGGTCCCCTGATAATGAATGCATTTGAGATGATTACACTGTCCCAAGGCTTGAATCTGTCAGCATTGTTTGACAGGCAACAGGTAGAGTGGCATAAGTCAGTATTTTCTGTTGCCAAGTGAAATTGTAGTCCATGACAGTTTCTTAATTTTATCAATCAATTGATCATATTGTTCCGGTTTCGTAAGTTAGCATAGCTAACCTCTGATTTAATGTTATTTAGCTTCACCTCAAAGCATGATGAATCCTCTTTCTCTTTTGCATCATGGTTATTGGTTGGTTATAGCTGATACTTTCATTTCTTGCTGAACCTACTGGAATTTTTTTTTATATTGTGAATTATGTTTGCTTAAAATATGAAAAATGTATTGTGTTGCTATAAGCTTGCATAGTATTTTGTCAATAAGAAAGGGTTTTGTGGTGGGGCGCACTAGTGTGCCAGCTAAAATTATATTTTTTGAAGCATTTAAATGTTTATTTTTTGGCCATTGAGATGATGCTTTATGGTTGTAGATTGTGTATAAGCTGTAAATTTGTTGAATATTAGCTTTGGTAGCAGAGTCCTAGGTAAGGAGCCTTCTAAGCAAAAGTACATCAGCTTCATAGGAAGGGGCAATCTTCCATTTGGCTAACAGTATCATTAATATTCTGCTAGACTCTAAAGTCTTGCTTTCTCATATTCATGTTTGATAAGTGTATTGTTATGTAAATAGTTCAATTGAGGGCATCATTTTGTAAATTGGAAATAGAGTTCTAATACAACCTTCTCCTGCTTGAACCTTTCCTCCATGGTTTTTCTTTGGCAGGATTATGTAAAACGACAAACTCGTTTTGTATCACGCAAACCAGCAAGAGTTATAATCTCAAGTGTTGAAGCCGTTGCAGAATCAATGGGTCTCAAGGTTCATACACGCAATTACAAGGTATGACTTGTAAAAATATCTTCGTTCACTAAACAGGGGTGGTTCTTCATTAGTGGTTTGATTTAGAGGCTTTTCTACAAAATGCAGCAATTTCATCTTTTACCCAAACAGATTTTTTTTTCCTGTTTTATCGTTTTCCTTTTTCTTCTAAAGAAGATACAAACAACATAGGCATGATAATGTGCTAGTAGAGAAGCGTTGTAATAACTCCCATGTAGTAGTTACTAAGCTAATTTTGACCTTGAATATTTCTCAAAGACACTCTTGGTAACAATTACGTTAATCTAATACCAGAGGCTTAAGATGTGTGTTCATGCGTAATGAACTTATTTATTTTGCCAATAGTAGTATGAATGGAAAAGGTTTATTGAGGAAATATACTGTCTAGGTTAATTTAGCTTCTTTCTAATCCTAGCAACATAAGTGGTGTTGGGGTCACCCTATTGTTTTATTTGGTGATCATGTTTTACATATTGCAAAAGGACATCAGTGTATGAGTGTACTATATTCATATTATTTTCTTTTTCATCAAAATTTGTTCTATCCTTCTAACCACAGGCAAGACTTGAGGGAATATCTGCAAATAAGTTTGGGCAATTTGCAGTTGTCCTGGAGGTAGATTCCTAGACCTAGAAATCTTTCTAATTTGGTAATCAATGCAGTTCTTACATTGGCAGGTGAATTTCAATATGACTTTTGTTTTATAGTTAGTTTTATTTCTGTTATGTAGGTTTTTGAAGTTGCACCATCACTGTTCATGGTAGATGTTCGAAAAGCTGCTGGAGACACTCTTGAATATCACAAGGTTGGTTGTTTGTGTCTTGGTCCTCATATTTTAGACATATTATGCAACACATGTATAATCCTTGTGTTACTCTTAGTTTTCTATAACCTTTGAATGGGTTGTCAGTTACATGCAACCCAAATTAAATTAATTTAAAATGGGTTAAAAAAATTTCTTGTTGTTCTAATGAGTATGCACAAAATCTATTGTGTAGTGTAGTCGATTCTAACAAAGTGGTCCTCAAAAGCTACAATTTAACCATATTTTGGCTTGTTACAGGATTCATTAGGGTCAAGTAAAAGGCTAAATGCTGCTAATATCTTTTCTCACGTACTTGTCTTTTATGCGGTTACTTTTTGTCTTTTATGCCACTGCTATTAATCTTTTTCGGCAGGAGACTAAAACATCGCTTTCTAACCTTTTCTTTTGTTGTTTTATGCACCAAGGGTGAACTTCTTATGGCAGATTCATTTTAGATTCTAGTAGTCTCTATAATTTTCTCTATCGTGATAGCATATCCATGTGGCTAGGACTAAATGCTAGTCTTGTTTCTTAGCTGCGTACCTCCAGGCTATGGCACACCTTGTCTTGAAAAACCTTTTGGGACTTGGATCAGGATGTAACAATCAGGCAATTGATTGCTCATGGACTTTTCTCAAGAGTTTGTTTTATTGACGTATAACATAATCTAATGCTGCCAGCTTGTTCATGCAACATGTTTTGATATCTGACGGTAAAAGCTTTATGAATTCCTACCAGCAATTACTAATGTACTAGTTTCGTTCCCCTTTTTGCAGTTCTACAAGAATTTTTGTACGAAACTTGAAAATATAATCTGGAAACCGACGGAGGGTCTTGCGAATTCCAGTCTTCTTAGAACAATCACTTGCTGATCCTTTTTCTGTGGATGTGGTGCAAGTCAGTGAGCAGATGGGCCCAATGAAGCTATTCCTCTGCTGTCCTTCACCAACCCACCGTCTTGCTATAAAATTATGTCTGCTGCGTACATATCAGTTTCCGGGTTTATAGATCATTTGCCAGATGCAAAGTTGAAGAATTTATGACTCCAGGTTGATATGTAGGTTTTCTCTTCCTCCACTTCCTGCTCGAGCCGAGGCAGGCCCATTGCCCTTCTATTTTGCATCTTTTTGTAGCAAAAAAAAAAAATCACGTGTTAATGTCTTGGCTGTATTCAATGATGTGATATGGTATAACTAGGATAATAATACAGATTCAGCTCCATCCCCATGCCGCAAATGGGGATTTCAATTTTCACTTTTGTTTGCTAATCATTGGCAGGGTGTTCACTTAGACTAGCATCGGAGCAGTGATCCTCAGCACTGTTTGCTTCTGCTGTCAAACGCTGTTCCTGGACTTGAACAAATCCATAATTGTAAGTTTATGACCACCCAAAACATATTCGTAGATAGAGGCTACTATTCACAGGTTTCTGCTCCCGCCACCATCAAAATCGACTTTCGTTACCATAAGTACCGCTGCAATCATTGTTATAAGTTCCCGAGTTGCTTTAAAACATCTCCGGGCAGTAGTATTCTATATTTAATTGGAAGTGATAGATTTACCATATTGGCTGTTGCCGCAGCCGGCAGGTATAGTTAAGAGAATGTTTAAAGCTTTGAAGTCGGTTGCATTTGTTTTTCTTGTAGCTCCAAACTCGCCATTTGCCTCGCCGAGTAAAGCGAGGCCAAACAGGTGTCAAAACAAGCAAAGGTTGCAGTTTGTGTACAGCACTACTATTAGCCAACAGGGCTACCCTGTAGAGTACCCTTGTTCATCAGCCATGTGGTCTGCATTTTACCAATGGCTCACATTAAATAGCCTTCTGAAATTTGTGAATTATTTAGCATTTGGGGAAAATCAGTGCCTCTTCTGACTTTTTCTGGCGTTCTGGCATCAAACCTGCAAGGAAAATTAAAATAAATAAATCATCGGAAACAATGACTCAGATGGTGAGCCTTGTATTCAAGTTTCTTCCCTAATTTACCTACAAAAACTAGGCAAGGAGCCGGTTCGAAAAGTCAAGGAAAAGAATAGGAATCCAACTTTTTAAAGAAAAGAAATATGTAATTCATATATAAACGTACATATATGATAATATCTCTTATTTTAGCAATAATATATTTATATTTCGAAACTCCCAGACATTGTATCTAAAACCATCAGACTATGTGGAAGGAAAATACAGTCATTGATTAAGGTGCAAAATTTGATTTTGTATTTGTCACTTGGACTTGGTGTTGTCTACTTTAGTAGTATATTGTTCCCTAAAAAGACAAGTCACGTTGGCAGTGGCTAGAGTCAGATTTTCTTGTATTTTCCTATCCTTTCCCGAAAACCAATTTAAAATAAATGGGACTATAACTTTGATCCAATGTAACTTCTCAATAATCCATACATTTACAGCCTATAATTCGTCTTCAATCCCCTTTGTTGTTCTAAAACCTCAGCTTTGCATAGACTGTTTTGTTTAAATACTTATTTATAAAAATAGTAAAAAATAAAAATAATCAGTAATAATATATATAATAAAAACATTAATCAAACCAAACTTTAATTTCTTTAGCTTATAAGTTCCGCACATAATTTCTTTTTTTGTTTTTTTACACATGAAAGTTCATTGAGCTTAAATTTCACAAAAAGAAAAAGTTATTCTATCTCAAAAATCATTTCTCTTTCTCTTTTCCTAATTTGAATAGGCAATATCTTAAGAGAAATTTCAAGTTTTAATTATGAGTCCTCTTATTACTTCCAAGGTAGGAATGAGAGTGGGTTGAATATCTCCTAATTTTGAAGTACTCAAACTCGATTTAAATGTAATTATGAATTAAAAAACTAATAGGTTGGAGTTGGAGGGGCTATTCCCTAATATCTTCATGCCCCTTAGGGCCTGGGGGTGACAGATTAAAGTAGAAATAGGAAAAGAGCAGAACATGCTACGTACGGCTTTAAAATTTACCATGAATTAAATAATCGATCAATGAAAGCAGAAGCAAACGTGACCATGGAAGCAAGTACGGCCATACCTTGTATGATGACAAAAAAGGAGGGGGTTTTGGCACTTCATCTCCTTGTATTCTTCAGATAGAGGGTTTAGTACCAACAATTTGAAAAAAACAAAAAAAGAACAAAAAAAAAAAGGTAGCAAAGGGGGAGTCAGGTCAGCTTGCAAAAGATGAAAGGAGATGTAACTTCAGTCAATTCACCCTGAAGCATGAAGACAAGGGGAACTATTTCTTGATGGAGAGACTTCAAAATTTTAAAGTTATTCTATGGGACCCTCCAAATACCGCGATAGATGCAATGTATTTCTTCGTTTGTGTGTGAGAGATGCTTCTCTTTTACAGGCAGACCATCATCCCTCTTTGCAAACAATAACATCTTCCTAATTCCTCTCTCGAGAAACAAACAAGCTCCCCAGACTCTATGCAGTGATTCGTGTATTCTCCTTTTATCTCCTCGACAAGACAGATGGCTTCATTCAGAAACCACCCAGTTGAGCTAAAGATTGCAGTCAGTGTTATGCTCATCTTTTACCTCACATTTTCCCCCTCCAAATCAGGTAAAAAAGGGCACAACAGAAAACTTAGACAAGCTGATATATATGTATATATACACACACTGCAAGACTCTATATTTTGTTTTACTCCGTGTAACGTTTATTCCTGGATTTTTTTTTTGGCAGTTGGGTCAGTATCTGTAACAGCTACTCACCGTTCCAAGCAAGTGATGAAAATGGTTCTGGGTTCAAGGCCACCCAAGTGTGTCAACAGGTGCTTCAGTTGCAGACCATGCATGGCTGCTTTAGTTGCTTCTCCCCACCATAGAAATGGTCGAAGTTCTTCATATCAAGGTGACGAAAGCTATTATCTGCTGGCATGGAAATGCAAATGTGGAGATAAGTTCTTTCAACCTTGAGCAAAGATTAATGTATATATAGTTTTATACTAGCTAGTTACTATGTTAAAACCCTCTGTCGCTTACATTATAGAACTCTAGTAGAAATCTCAATCGCCCTATTACTATTAGCAGCCTTATATTATAAACTAGGAAGCTCTTCCATGGCAATCCTCTCTCTCTCTCTCTCTCTCTCTGTCCAATGGTGCTGGTGTTATATCTGCTATTTCTTCTACTTCTAGTGCCAAAAACATTAAGTTAGCTCTAAATTCTAATGCATTGCCTCTTTCGCTGTCTCTCGTTATTAAAGAGGAAAGCTAGCAGTAACGTATTCCTTTTCTCTGTTTCCTACTGATATGGTAGCTTATTCATTAAAATTAATTAACCAAAGCACAAAAAAATCTTTGGTACGAAGCAAATGCCTAAATGTTTCACTCTTCTTTTTTCTTTTAAACAGTGCATGCAATGATTATTCTTGGTGCATTTTTTTTACTGTTTTGATCGAAACTTCTTCCGTTCCGGCGAAAAAAGAGCCAAATTTCAGCTGAGAGACTGTTTACAAGTCCCGAGAACAAAGGTTTAAAACAGTTAAATCAGTTTTGTAGTATATATTTAATACAGATAAAAGATCGCTTCGAAGATCCAATTGAGCATTATAAGTAAATAACTGTGACTTAATTTTCCATTTTTCTCTCTTTGACTTCTTTCTTTGTTCATTTCCTGTGGCTTCAACAAAGGAAGAACTTAATCAAAAGGACAAAAACTCTTCTACTTTTAACTTTTTGGTCCAAGCATGCTCTTGATGCTGGCATGCAGCATCCAGCATCCAGCCACCAGCTAGCAACATGGAAATTAGTAGAAGACTGCATCCATTATCTCCACCACATACAACCATACTATTTTTTTTTTCTCCCTTTCATTGATGACACGTTTTGCCATGCCTCTGTGACTCAGTCTGCTCCTCCAAGCTCAATCAATGTTCAACCTCCCGAAGAGTCAAAACACATTACCATTAAATAGTAGAGTCAACAAACGTTTCATTGAATTTCTTATTATGTTTCTTTGGACCGGCTGCTGGGAAGTGGAGATATTGGAAATTTCAAGGGAGTCATTGTTTCATCTCCTTTATTAATTTCTACCCCACCTTTCTTTCAGTCATCTTATCACAATTGTCCAAATAGAACTTGTCTTGTATAATTCAGACTAGTAACCGAAAGAAATATTGAACATATACAAATATGGAAGAAGTCTATATACAAGTATATATTATACAGTCCAACTGCCCATCTGAGAGTGAAAGTTATATAGATATAATGGATTGTTTGTAGGTAGCAGGATGCATCTCAAAGCAAATCGACTCCCAATAAAGTCTCAACTACCGCTGGATTTTGATTCGAATAAAAAGATACGTATACTGGCACTTAATTAACTCAAAAATCATTATTGCACTTGTAGTTGTATACTATATGAAAACCAAGGAACCACATTCCTATCACTACGTAGTTTGGACAAAGGTAGGGAGGAATTGAACCCCGAAAAGGGAGTAGTGAGGCCAAGTCTGGATATTGCTTAAACAAATGGATTCGCTGAGCAATGGACACAGTTTAACAATGTTTATTTGTTTGAAACCTCGGAGGGCAGAAGCAGATATTTCTTAATGCAGAACAATCAGAATGTTTCTTTGCAGCACCAAATCTTTAGCTGTGATTAATCTTTGGTGAAATTGCTAGTTTGTAACATCAGCTTTTGAAAACAACAGAGAGAAGTTCACGTCTATGGTTTAAAGAAAATTCAGATCTTCATCAGCACGTTCAAGCTCTTAATTTGGTCCATAGTTGCCGCATGGTTCTACAATCAGTAAATCGTACGCCAAGCCTCGCACAAAGAAGATACAAAGAAATATTAAGCTTTATTGCTAATAACAGAGTAGTTGCAGTGGTTCAATTCATACACAAGGAAAAGCCTACAAGACCAGGGACTTGTGGAAAAAATAAAAAAACAACCAAAGAAGGTTGTTATGGCAGATCAGATGAATCCACTGCCATTGCCAAAGCCCAACAATCTGCGGCACCCAAACATAGAACTGCTCAAAGCAACCACCATAGAGACGCGACGAAAGCAAACACAGAAGAACCCCTACAGGAGTTTCAAACATCGGAAGCCCCTTGAAAACAGACGCTTAAAACTAAGATGGACAGATCCAAGCAACAGACTTCATAGGACTGAAAACAAAGAAAGCTTAGTCAAGCACTCCCATAAAGAATGTATGACAAAGGCTAAAACACTGAGTAGACCACAACCAGCAAAATAGAACCACAAGCACTGATGATCATGAGTGGAAACCTATATCCATGACTTGATGACAGAGTTCTCCAGGAACCATGCCTATGAAACTGCCACCAAACCCCCCGCACCCCCCCAGGTAAATGGGGGCTTGATGGTTACAACAGGCTTTCCCATGTCAAGAAAGCCAGCAAAAAACGGATGGATTGGCCATCTGCAAAACAGCCAAAGTCCCCAGGAAAACACCAAGCCATTGAGGAACCAGCATGACCACTTTGTCGGACCAAAAATCTGTTCGGAATGTTGCTACCCGTGTGAGTTAACTATATGAGTTTGATATTTCTACCATCTTTACGCCGTAAGTGTAGTTGTTCAGATCTGGCTCATCAGCCTTCTATCCTTGATTAAGAAAGGATGTCACATCTCCACAAGCTCTCTACAAGCAGCTCAACAGTTCGACTGCTGATTGAATTGCAGTGCTGGAGATTCAACCCCACCAAGGTATTTCCCAATTTTTTCAGGAAAGGCATGCTTTTATTTGACACTCCAGAACAACCTGAAAAAGAAAGGACTTGCAAATTGAGTTGCTCGGCATGAGACAAGGCAGCAGCACCAGAATCGGTGATCGCACACCTTGATACATCCAGATCACTAAGAAAAACACAATTGTCTGCAACTGCCACCAAACTTGAATCAGTGATCCTCCTGCAACCATCAAGATTGAGCAACTCGAGGGTTCCGCCATGTAGTCTGGTCAAGGCCAAAACTACCTCATCAGTCAAATTTAAGCAGCCGCTCAGGTTCACCTTCACAAGTCCTGCCTCACAACTCTCAAGAAGAGGCAGAAGACCTGCGTCTGTAATGCCATAGAGCCCACTCAGATCTACATGCTGAAGCTGAGGGCACAGTTTGCCCACCATAGCCAAGCTGGCAGTCCCAAATCCTGAGCAGTTCCTTACAGACAAGGATTTAAGGGAATTGCAAGGGGAGGACAAAGGAGCTCCCACGGACATATCCTTAATTCCCAGGCACTTTACTAGGGTGAGAGATTTTAATCCACAGTTTGAGAGGACACCAATAATCCCAGACTGTGTGACCCTGTTACACTCCTCCAACTGCAGGCACTCAAGAGAACCTGCAGACTTGGCAAAAGCCACCAATCCATCATCCGAAAGAAAGCAACACCTGCGAAGGCACATCTGCTTTAGGTTTGTGCATCCCTTTCCCATGGCTTCAAGACTGACATCTGTTACCCCCCAGCAAGAAGTAATCATCAAAGATGCCAATTTTTGCAAACCCTGAGCATTACCCATGACCCAAAACCCCTTCTCACTCACATTTTGTAGACCACTGAGCATTAGATTTGTCACAGACTTGCCATAGTGCCCAATCACAGCAAGAGAAAAATCTGTGATGTTCAATCCCTGAAGCTTAACCTTTGAAAGGACAGAAGATGCTGATGCCAACAGGCTTGAAACTCCGTGATCCCCAACAAGTGGGCAGTCCTTGATTGAGATGGACTGCAGCTTGGGGCAAAGCTTTCCGATGGCTTGGAGGCCCTCGTTACCAATCTTTGGGCAAGATTCAATGCTCAATGAGGTCAAATTAGGGCAGTTCTCTGCGATTGCAATCAAACCCTTGTTGGAAACTGAGAGGCACTGGCAAAGGTCAAGCTTCTCCAACAAATGGCATTCTTTAGCTATCTCTGACAGACCTCCATCCCCAACGCGAGGGATGTTCCACAAAGACAGTGCCTTGAGAGAAGGGCAACCACGAGCTATGGCAGATAGCCCGAAATTGGTTACTCCACATGAGGAGCTGCTTCCCCTTATAGAAAGCTTTCCCAGCCCACCATGACCACTTGTTCCAACAGCCACTGCAGCAAGTCTCATGTCAGTTGCTCTCTTCCCTTCCAAGCACCTTGTAAGATACCCATCATCCTCATCAGATGAGATCATCTCAACATCCTCAGAAACCAAATCATTATTCTCCTTGACCACCTTTGATGACTCATATTCACTCTTACGAATACTGGTCAGAAGCATAAGCCAATGCTTTGAGACGCAAGCACAGGAGCTCCTTTCTTTGCCCCCAGGAAGACGTTTGAAGATCTCAAAAAGGCATTCCTCAGGAAGAACATCAATTGATGGTTGCTTATTCTGCTCAAACTCAGTTTCTCCGAAGAGAAATGGGGCACTAATACGAGCTCTTTTACGAGGAGGGCAGTACACATCCACTTGGGAACTGATTGAACACAATCTACCCAAGTCTGTGGAATTTGTAAAAAATGAACCCCCAGAATAGAAATCATCATCACCTGAAATTCCAATAAAGAAAAACTGCAATAAGCTAAAACTACCCAAAGAATATTTCCAAAAAGAGCTAGCAGAAAATAAACATATTCACACAACAATTTTTTTCCTTCCCAGAACAATTATACAAAATTTAAAAATCATTTGGAAAAGCTTTCAACTTTGATGTAAAATTTCAAGGATCCAATCCTCACAACACAAATTTCATATAAGTAATATCTCCTAAATTCGTTTTCTTTATTTAAAAAAAGAAAAGAAAACTAAGCCTAACTAAAACAAACAGAACCATGACTTAAAATCAAATTCTCACTTGGGGGCCTTATGAGATCAAGCATAAAAACCCAACAAGAGAAATCTATCAAACATCCTGACCAAGATAGACTATTCTTACAAGTGATCTTCATATGAATTTCAAACAATATCAATCTAAGAATTGTAAACAGATCTATAAATTCAAAGCCAACCTACACCCACTAAAGAAAAAACAGAAAAGAAAAAAGAGCTCACCACCGTAATTAACAAGGGCAGGCATGGTTGAATCTCACAGAAGAAACCTTTCGGAGAAGCCTCCAACCCCAAAACGCAAAATCCAACAGCACAAAACGCTAGAAAAAGGCAGACCAAGTATACCCCTGGAAAGCTTGA